CAGTCAGATGAGGGCTGAGTGGGTGGGTGCCTTGGAGCAGCACGGGGACCAACCTAAAAGCTTAAATCTACCCGAGCTCCTTCTCCCCCAGGAAGCCAGGGCGGAGAGAGGGAATATCCACAGCTTCATCATCCAGACGGAGAGCTCTAAGTTATTAAGCCATTTACAAAGCATTTCTTCTCCCTCTGAGACTGGAGTCATCTGCAGGTGTCTCCCTCCAGCCCACAAAAAGGAGTGAAGGATAGGTTCCCTTGTCAAAAAAAAAAAAAAAAAAATGTTGCCAAACCGGTTTGGCTCAGTGGATAGAGCCTCGGCCTGCGGACTCAAGGGTCCCAGGTTCGATTCCGGTCAAGGGCATGTACCTTGGTTGCGGGCACATCCCCAGTAGGAGGTGTGCGGGAGGCAGCTGGTCGATGTTTCTCTCTCATCGATGTTTCTAACTCTCTATCCCTCTCCCTTCCTCTCTGTAAAAAATCAATAAAATATATTTAAAAAAAAAATGTTCATCTACTCGGCTGAAGTTGGATAACCTTTTTAATCCCAACTTTGTCCTGTTGTCTCTGAATCAGTCTGCCACTCTTCTGCTGAAGACCCATCTGGAACAACGGGAATGGGACTTGAGAAAGGTCGTGGTGGAGCGAAAAGGCAAAGAAAGGCTAGTTCTCCACAGTCCTGACATCTCAGGAAACATGGAAAGCAAGCCACGGTCTCGGGGCTTTGCCAGAGTGGGTTGAAAGGGCCTGGAAGGCCATGCGGCTGAGACTACCTCCTGCTGGTCCACAGAACCAGGACCCTGTCGAAACCGACGGAGTCCGAACGCTGGGGACGACGGTGCCCCGGCAGTTCCGCTGTATAACAGGCTTGGGATATAGACTCTAACTCTGCACTTACAGCAGCAGAGATGGAGGACCAGAGAGGGGAAGGGACTGGCCCAGAGCCACAGCTGTTCGTGGAGGCTGGATAGAATTCAAGGCCCCTAACGCTGAGTCTAGACCCCTGCTTTTCTGTACTCAGGGAACAAAAATTAATTTACCTTTAGTCAAGGTCAGTGGTTCTCAACCTTTTGGCCCTTTAAATACAGTTCCTCATGTTGTGACCCAACCATAAAATTATTTTCGTTGCTACTTCATAACTGTAATATTGCTACTGTTATGAATCGTCATGTTTAAATATCTGATATGCAGGATGGTCTTAGGCGATCCCTGTGAAAGAGTCGTTCGACCGCCAAAGGGGTCGAGTCCCACAGGTTGAGAACCGCTGGTCTAGGACATACTAAGGATGGTGAATCTGTCTGCAGGCAAATCAATGCAAAGCCAAAGAAAAATGATTTCTCGATCATATTGGCATTTTCCCTCGGCAGAATAAGGGTGGGGTCTTATGGACAGCAAACAGGGCACAGATGTGCATTCCAGGCTCAGCTCAGCCCAGGCTCCTGGGGCAACTAATGAATATCTGCCCTTCTCTGTGCCTTGGACCATCTGCGGAAACAGACCAACAGCTGCTTGGCCTCCGTCAGGAAGGCCAAGGGGACGAGGAGCACAGGCCCTGGCCCCCTGGCTTAAAGGGGCTAGACACCTAACAGCTGTTCCTGTCCAGCAAACCCCTCCGTACCCATCCTTCACTAACCACTGGCTGAGCTCCTCTGGGCTTTGCATCATGATGCCAGGGACCCCTCAGGCAACCAAAGGAACACACAGGTCTCGCCCCTCAGGAAACCTGGAGAGACAGACAGTAACAAAGGCCACCTGCTGACGGGCAAGGGAGAGCAGTCATGTGGTACTCACCCTGTGCCTGGATGTGTGTGTGTGTGTGTGTGTGTGTGTGTGTGTGTGGACCCACTCACAGGTTTGCTCACAAGTCTGCCCAGGAGGGAGCTGCAGCCAAGAGCCCACTGTCCCTCAAGGCTTACTAAGAAGGAAATGGAAGCCTAGGTTCCAAGCTGCCTCTAAGTCCCACCCAAACCTGTCCCCGAGGCTCCTCGAGGCACCATGGAGAAGTGATCGCCTCTGGTAACCTTTGATGACCCTCTTCCTGCTCCGGCTCAGGTCCATGCTCCAGAACCTGCTCATTTCTCCTTATTCCATGGCCATCCACACGGAGGAACTCCTAAAGCTGGCTCTGATCCAAATCCCCTCGGAAACGTTAGAAAAGGTACAGAAACCCAGGCTCCACCCCAGCCCCCTGAATCTGAGTCTAGGGTGGGACTTAGCATCCCAGCCATCCAGGCACCAAGCCGCTGCTAAAATGCCAAGTTGTGGGCTGGAAGTGGAGAGGCCTGGGTCCCAGCCTCTGAACTCTGCCATGAAACTACCTGTATGACTGCAGGAATCCTTCTCACCAGCCCGGCCCTAGGGCTGTAAGTTTGGGGTAAGCTGAGCCCCAAACATCTGCCCTTCTCTGAACCCTGGTTCCCACACCTGTAAATGAGAGAAACGGGACTTCCATTGCTTATACCAGCACCAGCTCCTGGGGGAGGCTGTGAGTCACACTCGCTGAAAGCGCTCTCCCGACCAACCAAAGACTGGCACGACCTTGGGGCCTGGGAATCAACACCCAGAGCTGTTCACAGAAGTACTTTGTACTTTTATTTGCGTCACTGTTCCCAGCACATCAGATAAAAGAAGCTCCGTGAGGCCACAAGCTATGTCCATTAGGCACCCTTTTTCTCCAGCATCTAGCATGGTGTCTAATGCAGTGGTTCTCAACCTTCCTAAAGCCACGACCCTTTAATCAGTTCCTCATGTGGTGGTGGCCCCCAATTTCATTGTTACAAATTGAACATAATTAAAGCATAGTGATTAATCACAAAAACAGTATGTAATTATATATGTGTTTTCTGATGGTCTTAGGCGACTCCTGTGAAAGGGTCGTTCGACCCCCAAAGGGGTCGCGACCCACAGGTTGAGAACCGCTGGTCTAATGCCTGTCTGTCACTTACCAGGTGAGTGACATTGGTCAGGTTACTTAACCTTTCTTCGATTCATCTGCAAAATGGAGCTAATGGCACCTACTCTCAGTTGCTGGGAAGAAGAAATGAGTTAACACACGTAAAGTGCCTAGAATAGTACCTGGCAACACATTAAGCACACACCCAATGTTCTTTATTAGTTATGAGAGAGTGTTTGATAACTATTTATAGAATGAATGACTGAATGACCAGGAAAGGGGAGGGGAAATGCTTGGGGTCACATTCTCCTGTCAGTGCCAAAGGGGAGGCTGAAACCAAACTCCCAGCTACTCCTTTTCCCATCACAATGTGCTGCTTGCTGCTAGTCAATCCCTTCTGGAAAAAAAAAAAAAAGGAAACAAACAAAACACCCAATGGGTTAAACAGCATAAGGAATTGATACCTGAATGAATACTCTTCCTTTCCTCCCTTGGGAGCACTGAGGGCTTCCGTTGGAAGTGAGTTCTATGCTTTGCATCTCCCAGTCTATAACCCAAACCTGCTGGTGCTGGGGCAGGACCTGGCTCCCTCATTAGCTGGCAGCTTCATTTCTTCCTCCCTTTGTGGCCCCTCAGGATCTCATACTGGGCATGACTGACCAGCCATGAATTGCTCTTCAAAGGGTATGTATCCATTTTGCTCCAATGGTCAATATAATCATTCATGAATATGAGTCACTACCTGTCTAGGGACCCAATTATTTTCTCGTGGAAGCAGTGGTTGCAAAGATATGTTGTTTTCCAGCTAACTAGTAAGAGCTATTTTTATCTGTGGTTTCCCCATTGCTAATCTTGTCTGCTTGGTGAGACGTTGCTGTTTAAACCTGAGTCCAAGTTCCCTCGCCTGCTTGGTCTGTTTCGTTACCACCTTCTCCAGGCTGCCAATTATTTGAAGGGGCCCCAAGTCAAGGGGTTGGCAGTCAGTATTCCTCTTCCTTCTCCCCTTGCCAACACCCAGGGAAGGGCGGGAACAGGTCTCTCCTCTTGAGCACTCTCTAAGCACAAACCATCGCTCCAGAGAGCTTTTATGGGCGAGCGGGGAGGCTGTTCGGACTGGACTACAATGCTGGCATTTATGCAGAAAAAAGGATCAAAGGGACTGTCACCTCTCAGGAACTTCATAGTCACAGGGACCTTCGCTGACATCTCAACTCGGTCCCCTAAACCAGCCCTGTGGCCTTGGGCAATACGCCAGCATTGTGGAATTCTGCTAACTTGCGTATAAAACAGGATTAATAATGACTACTCACAGGGGTTTTGTCAGGATTCAATGAGGGAACATATGTCATGGTCACCTCACCTTCCGCAACTCATGTCACTGAAGTCTACTCTATGTCCCTAAAGGGCACCTTCATCCTTTCAATTGCTTTGGCCAAAAACCCGAGTGTCCTCCTGGCTCCTGGCTCCCAACCTCTATCCAGCCCATCAGTGCCCCCTGCCAACTCTGCCTTCCACCTCCACAACCAGGCCAGACACCCCCTTCCCACCTACCACCATCATCTTGCTCCCAGGTTACTGCAGTGGCCTTTGAGTGATTTCCTTGCTACCACCTTTGTTCCCCAACAGTCTCTTCATAATATATCAGCTAAGCCAATGTGTCCCTTTAAAAATGCAAGTCTGATGACGTGACCGCTATGCTCAAAATCCTCCAATGGCTCTCATCTCACTTAGAGTGCAAGTCAAACCCTGATTCAGGTAGATGCTCAACACTGAGCCACACAGGCCCGATATGAACCAACTTCTTTCTTTCTTTTCTTAATATATTTTTATTGATTTCAGAGGGGAAGGGAAAGGGAGAGACAGAGAAACATCAATGATGAGAATCACTGATCAGTTGCCTCCTGCACGCCCCTACTGGGAATCGAGCCCACAACCCAGCGCATGTGCGCCTTGACCAGAATTAAACCCAG